TAATGCTTGAATCTGACTCAACTTGGTGGCTGTTTTAGTGAATTGAATGAATGGCTTCTTTTCATGGCCTTTTGTATTGCTTTTTTTAATTATGCAAATAAATAATCAAAAATTAGTCATTTTTTAATTAAAATATTTTGAATAAAAATCATGAAAATGTCCAAAATACATTTTTGTGTGCTTGTCAACGCTGCATATGAAAAATGATAGTTCTATTCACACATTTTTTTTGCTCTCCACACCCCCTACTATAAACACACCCCTTATAATTTTGAAAGGATTAAATTTAATTTTTATACACACCTATTATTCCAAGACTACTATCCCTAACTATTTCCATAATATTATTAATTTTTGTTCATTTTATTTTTCTCTTTGTACACCTATCATTTTATTTTAATTTAATATTTTTAGTATTATTATTTGTTCATCTCTATATATTTTTTTAAAATTTTTGGAATAAAATCTTTTTCATGCATAATTAATAATTACATTTTTCAATAATAAAGAACATAAATATGAGATACTTATTATATCAATTGAGGTGTTGATAAAAATGACGAAATGGAAGAAATGAACTCAAAAGAGAATAAAAAAAAAAAAAGAACGAAACATTTAAGAAAAACAATTCAACTTTGTAAAAAGAAAAAAAAGAAACAAAATGAAATGATTAGCTATCAAAAAACAAAACGATTAGTCAAAAAACATAAACATGAACCGAAAAAAAAAGCAAAAGAAAAATCATACAACAAATAGTAAAGCAAATTAAATTTATCTCCATCCAATTTTTTAGACTAGTCATTAAAAGATGAAATAGTTTTCAAAATAGCAATAGTTTTTAATTTGTGTGGGTGAGTTGAAAGAAAAAAAAAACTATATAAATAGTTTTCCTTTTATGATAAAATTTAGTTGCTTAATTAAGTCAATTATAATTGTCTTTTTTTTGTCATTTTATGTGAGGGTCTTTTTATCATTAGAAATTTCAATTTAAAGGGGGTGTAGAGAGAAAAAGGAGTGTGTACATAGTACTACCACCCTATGAAAAATAATAGTTCAAAGTGCCAGACTGAAAAAACATATCTAAATAGGGACATGTTCAAGAAAAATTCCCTCTACAACAACAAATTAGAGATAATATATTAATTATAAAATAATAGTTGTAAGGGTCAAATAGACATGTATGAGAATAAATTTTTTTAATGGGTCAATATAAAAAAAAGTATTGATGAGAATATCTTTTGAGTTATGACATTATAAAGATTTAAAAAAAATTGGAACACATCCGAAAAAATATTTTAATAGAAGCAAGCAAGCTAATAGAATATTAAAAACTCAAATTCGAATAGCATTTAACTATGCATGACTCGTCGTAAGAAAGGAAAAAAGAAACAAAGACAATTAAAAAAGGATACATTTAAAAGAAATTATTTAGTCGGAGTAAATGAGAAGAAAAAAAGAAATACATATAAAAGAAATTATTTAGTCGGAGTAAATGAGAAGAAAAAAAAAATCATTTAAGAAACGTAAACATAAAAATTAAAAGAAGTATATCATAAGAGAATTAAAATTGTTAAAGAGCATTTGACAAAATTTTATACATTAATTGTAATAATATCTATTAGTATATGGTCCAATTCCTAGAAAAAGTACGGAGAAAATGAGATCACGCACTGTCCAAAATCTAGCTAGCATTATTCTCAAAGGAGTGATATGAATCTATGACAATATATTGTCTAGGTTCACTTTGACTACTGGCCGTATAAACCAAGTAAAATGAAACTCCTAATATTTATGGAAAATGTACAAATTGGATTACTGCCTTACAAATATACACTAATATTATGTGTAACGTAGAAACTGGACCACTGCCCTTCTAAAAAAAAAAAAAAAAAAAAAAACCTGGATCACTGTCCTTGACACATTATTGTGGCTTCAATCTTGATTTGTCATTTATACATTAATAGTGACAATATATATCCATTAGTATGGGTCTAATTACTAGAAAACGTCCTTTTCCAAAACATATTTTTAATTGAGGTTAATTATTGACTAAATAAACCATAAAGAGAAAGTCATTTTGACCATTTCAGATTAAAATCAGTGTCCAACATCTATCTATTATCGGAATCTGATTCTCATCATGATCTCTACCTCTAGTAAAGTAAAAGAGTGAAACGAACTCATGACAAGCATATTTTTCTGATCGTATTCTCAAAATAATTCTTCTTTTTAAGGAAAAATATTTTATTGTAGTGAAATTTGATTTTAGGATTAAAGTACAATATAAAAAAGGAAAATTGTAGAAAATAGGTCAAAATTTAAAAGTTATGGAGGTAAATTGGCCAATTTACTAACTTATGAAAATTAATAGGCCATTTTGTATTTCTCATTTTTCATTTCCAAATTTATCATTTTCTTCTATGGATAATAACCTGTCAGATAATGATCGTCGCCAATGACCGGAGGCGTAATCTATCAGGCTATGGATCATAACCTATCAAGTTATAGTGCGGCCGGCCAGAAACCCGCCAGTGGAAGGGGGGAGACCCGCCGACAGGTGGCGTAATCTGTCAAGTTATGAATCATAACCTGGTAGACTATGGCCGGCGCCGGAGAATGACGACCGGCATAATCTATTAGGTTATGGATCATAACTTAATAAACTATTGCTGGTGTCGGTGTAATCTGTCAGGTTATGGTTAGCGGCCGGCCGGAGACCTACCGACTACCGGTGTAATCTGTCAGGTTATGGATCATAACCTCTCAGGTTATGGCTGGCGGCACGTGTAACCTGTCAGGTTATGGATCATAAGCTATCAGCTTATGGTGTGGCCGGTCAGCGATCCGCCGGTGGCCAGACGACGATGGGAGACCGCCAACATATCTTATATTTACCAAGGGTATTTTTAGAAATTCATGTGTTTGTATATTTAGATTTATCTTAAGTTGACTTATTTATTAATTTTTTTAAAATATTGGCCTATTAATTATAATTCCTCCTAAATCTTGGCCTATTTTACTCTTTCCCCGTATAAAAGGGATTGAAAGATAAGTAGATAACGATGCTGAAAAATTAAAACAACAACAATTTGAAAAGAATTTCAAGGAAACGGCCTTACAAATCAAACGATGACGTCTATTTCTAAAGGAGAATTATTTTTTTATTAAAGTAAAAGTGTTTTACTTATTTTTCTCAAAATAAATCCTCTTTTTAAGGAATTAAAAAATATTTTGTTGAAGTAAAATTTAATTTTCTTTTTTAGTATATTCTTAAAGTAGAAAATTTACTTTATGAAGGTAATAATACAAGTTTAAATTTATTTCCTTCAAAACATACTAATGTTTACATCAAGAATCCATTTTAATTAATTGGCGGGGTGAGATCGTAACACATCTGCCTCTATAAAATCACGAGCTTCAATTTTTATTCAGCAAAAAAAAAAAAAAAAAATCACGAGCTTCAAATTCATCTGTACACAAAATCTTAAGAAAATACCATACAATATTGATGGAAGCTACTATTTTACTCACACTGTCCATCCATTATTGTATTAAAAGGACACCATACGTCTGTGAGAATTTGTATGCTAGAGGCCAGGCCTTAAATCGGCACAATGGGTAGGTGGCAGAAATCTTCACATTAAAAACGTGCATGAATGTTGCTACTCAAGGTATTTACAAATCCTTAACTCTCTGTAAATACAAGCTTTGTTTTAGTCATTTCTACACAAAAATCCCAAAAATAACACAAATGGGAGCTACCACTTTATTCACCTTGTCCTTCCTTTTCCTTTTTTTCACAACAAATTATGGAGTGCAAGCCAATTACGGTATCTCCATCCTTGTTAAGGAATCTCCTGCAGTTCTTGACTTCAATGAAAACGAACTCCAAAAGGGTGAATATTACTAATATGGGAGCCTCTTTCTTTCAGTGGTAGAAAGAAAACTGCTGATACATTCGGTAAAAATGTTGCTCAAAAGTCGAAACGTTTAGCAAATAAGGAGAATGGTAAGTTTCCAACAGAATGATTCTATAGCCTGACTGTTGCATTTCTAGCACGTATATTTCAGCGCATATGGTCTTGGATGACACACACACACAGAGACACGTAGAAGAGGCCTCATATAGTTGTCAATTATTTATTTCAAAAAGATGATTGCAAAACATAAATAGGTACTGAATGATAGTCGGGACTTGCTTTGGGCCTTAACAACTCTTGTTGGTAGTGAACCAGAATTGACGTGTAGTCATTTGTGAAACAAGTATAACTACCAAGAAAACAGAGAGGACAACAACTCCAAGCAGTACACAACAGCAAGAAAAGGAAAACCCAAAAATTCTTCAGTTAAACTACACCCACTTCCACAGCACTTTTCCTTTCTTACTATCTTGATGTCCGTCTTCAAATATCCTTCTGTACCCACCCAAAGTACATAAAACAGATCTAACCCCACCCACCACCACAGTACTTTACGTTCTTTTCACAACTCAAGTTGTAAAGTGAGTCTTATGTGAGAAAATTCTATAGCAAATTGTTAAATTTGAATTTTTACGAGAGAAAACACTAGCAAAAAAGTCTTGAGTTGTGATTCGAATTGTGAAAAGACTTGAACTTTCTGAATCATGACCAATAAGGAAGGCAGTTTGGAGGAAAAACCCACATAAAATCGGTCTCACTGACCATCTGCCACTACAAATTTAAAACAACTTCTATGAGTAATCAAGTAATTGATATCCTCTCCATCATTCTTACCTCCTCTTGTTTCTTGCGAAATTTTATTGGCAAGGACACTTCTGATTTAGCATCATTGTTTTCTTTGTTGCATGGGGGCGGTTTGGAACTTCTTTTGTAGTGATAAAAATTTGTTGGTCTTTAATTCTTTTATATTGATAAGGATTTTCTTCCTAACTTAATGGTTTATGGGTGCAGAATCGACAAAAAAAAGGCAGAAAGCTTATGTAGACGCCTCCGCATCAGAAGTTATTAATAATGTGAAACTTGAGATTCAAACATACAGATGGAAAGTCGACTTTGGAATAAAGATTGTGGATCATATGTTTTGTTTCCCGATTTTATGTAATAGTAAAATGACTCTTTTGTTTGGAAGAAATCATTTTACCTATGCTTGCAGCGATTCTTGTTACCACTTAATTGATGAGTTCATGCTTTGCGAGAAAAGATAATTTTATGTTTTGGATCAATTGGACAGATTGCATGCGACAATGGAGCTGTTGAACTAGCATGCTTGGACAGCGAGAGCTGGGATACTCTAAGTGATGATTCCCAACTGGAAAGGGTAAGATGAAAATATGAATGATCCTGGATTGGTATATACTTGTGGTCCTTGATCCACGTTATATGATTGTGATACCACACTGCAGTGTTGGAAGCTATAGCTGAGTTAGAAAAAGAATCTGTTTTCAACTAACTTTCAATTTTATTTGTATTAGTTTGAGAGCTAATAAAACCAAAATCTTAGAAACTACCTATCTTTGTCGCAGCTTTCTGGCTACAACTAACGTCCATACCTTAGATATTTCAATATTTCTAAACAGAAGATGAAACTAGAAAACTCCAATTTTCTCATGGCAGTTGGAAAACACCATTATGTGGAATGCGAAAAACATTACTTTGCTATAATTTTGTGAACCTAATGGACTTTATGAGTTGGCATCCATTCCAGTTCCAAGGATTTCTGCTTGTTCATTACGTCCTCATGGCTGTGTTGTTGTTGTTGTTGTGTTTTTTTTTTTTTTTTTGCTTTTATTTTATTTTCTTTTCTAGAGGGTTATGTTGGCAGAGCATTCAAATGGCATCGATTTGCAGCACCGGTGAGTTGCTAATATATAACTTTGTTGTGTCTTCTTATTCAACTATTTAATATGTGCTGTTACTCTTTTTTTACTGTGCCGCTGCTCGAAATACCCTAAAGTAACATCTCAAATTTGATGTTCTATTTCATGGCCTTGACATGGTTTATATTGCCGTTCAATGGATCTGTACCATAGACAAGGGTGGTTTCCCTTGTGTGAAGCGTGGGTAGGGATATTGATGAGCTTTTGAAAGCCTGCCCCGTCAACTTTTGTTTCCCTAATGTTCCTTATACTGTTAAATTTCCCTAATGTTCCTTATACTGTTTTACATTTAATATATTAGCTTGGGGAAACTTGTGGATTGTTTCAATAACTTTTTTTTTCCTTAAATCTAATTGCCGATAGAAAGTTGTTCTGATTTTTCAAATGGTTGTGATAGGATGTTCGCAATTTTATATGCCAGTTATTATGTTAACATAACGTGTCGTCTAGTTACTACTTGGCAAGCACAAGTAATTAGCCTTACTTTGACTGGCTGTTACTTGTAACTGGTATGAACACAATATGCATAGATTGACACGCTTTAAAGTCTTAAGGCCTGTTTAGAAGGTATACTCAAATCATGATTCTTAATTTTGAGGTTTGAAATTCAAATTTTTTGTGAGAGGAAAACACTGTAACAGAATCAATGATTTGAGTTTGATTATATAAAATATGTGAGCCCTTAACTTATTCGATGGCCCTTTTTTAATTTAAAAAACTATAGTTTAAGTAATTTAAATGTGAACCAAGGGTCCGATACTGAAGACTCACTACAAGAAAAGATGTATTTATTGACGCTAATAATTTTTAACGCTTTTATGTCATCAGAAATATTCACACTTATCGATGCTATTTTAAAAAGTTAGCATCGGTAAGTTTATTTGGTCCTTCACCGGGCGGATTTCATTGACTAGAAACTTCCCGATGCCTATAAACGTCAAGAAGTTTTTAAGAATTAAGTTTTTAGTGCCATATAGCGTGGGAACTTTTTTTGAGAATTGGGAGTTAATTTTTCGACGCTATGTAGGCGTCGGGAGGTTTTGGAAATTAATTTTGCTACGCCACATAGCGTGGGTAAGTTTTTTGAGATTTAGAATATAACTTTCTAACGCTATGTAGGCGTCAAAAAGTTTTAAAGAATTACATCTTATAACATCGGGAAGATTTTTAGAATTAGGAGTTAATTTTCCGACGCTATGTAGGTATCGAAAAGTTTTAAGAAATTAAATTTGTGACGCCAGCTAGTGTCAGAAAGTTTTTTAGAATTTTAGATATGTAATTTTCAAAAAGTTCCTAATGCGCAAGGGCATCAGGAAATTGTTTTTTTAAAGTAAAAAAAAATTGGAAAAAAATAAGAAACTTCCTCACAGAATTAGGAAATTTTGATAATTAAATAATTTTTTAACAGATAACAACCAAAACAAATTCAATTTTAAGTAAACAAATTACGTGAGTGGTCATTTTTAATTAATACACATGCACTTTTTAATGCAGTTTCCTTACTTTAATTGCTTAGAGTGGCAGTATACTTTTTATTTTATTTTATTTTTGTTCCCAAAAATAAAAGAAAATGGAATCAGATGGATTTAATATTTGTTTTCTTGTTAGGATTAAACACTACAATCAATATGTATTTTTATAATTATTGTCTAGTCTTAAAAACCTGTCTAAAATGTTGGCTCTTAAAATGGACCTGGCTTTTGTTTTCTTGTTAGGATTAAACCTGTCTACGATCAATTGAGTATCGCCGTAAGTCTTTCCCACATTCTTTTTTTCCGAATAAGAAATTGGAAATGGTGGTGAGAAGTTCTTTGTTGTGGCAGGCTACAACATGCGTATGATTATCATTAGCTTATTTAAAATATAACAATATATACAACATGAATACATAAAGATGAATGTACTTGTTAGACGTACAGAGCTGATAACTTATCTTGTTGATCTAGTGCAGCTCAAGTTTAACTGATATTGAATGGAACCTGGTTTTTTGTTTTCTTGTTAGGATTAAAAGGAACTTGGCTTTTTTTCTATTTTTTTTTTTTTTTTTTTTTTTTTTTTTTTTTTTTTTTTTTAGAGAATAAAATGTTGGCTCTTAGAGATTTGCAGACCCATCAATCTTCAGATGCAATATCAAACGGCGATACTCATTATGTTCCTCTCACAGAAGAAGACATTGTTCAAAGGGTTCGGAAGCCTCATTCGGGATATATCCGAGGGAGGGGAAAAATTCTGAAAGGATCTTCTAGTTCTTGTGGTGCACAAAGTGAGAATGACGAAGTAGTTGTGGAGTTGAAGAACAAACTTGCATCATATGAGAACAAACTTGATGCATGTACATAATTTATTCAACAATTAACCTCTCAACTGAACATGCAATTTCCTGGCTACTTTGCTCAATTTGATCCAAGAACCACCTTTTCTCTACCTTTGCCACCACAAATGACGACGACAATGCTTATTGTCCCGTGATCTCGAGAGATCCATGTTATTAGACTTACAGTTTAAACCTTTAAGTTCACGTATAAATTTATATTATAAACTTCTACTTTTGGATATTGATAATATGCTTGAAACTATTATGTATGTTTTTTTTTTATCATTAGTTAATATGAGCTCTTAAATTTATGTTATCATTATTTTTGTAATTTATTAATTTTATATTTAAAATAATAATATAATTTAATAAATAAATTCAAAATAATAATGCAATATAAATTTATGCTAAAAAATAATTAAAAGCACGGTTTCTTAAAAAATGAAGAAGTTGTCGACGCAGTAGGTGTAGGTAATTTTAATTTTGAGGATATTTTGCTGATGCTTTGATGGTGTGAGGAATTTTATCTTTTGAAACTTACTGACGATAATGGCGTCAGTAAATTTCCTTAAAAATACGGGAGAACTGCATTTTAAGTAACTTGACGACGCTATTTTGGCGTCAGCAACTTCTAATCAACTTAGCGACGCGTTGACTACGTCACTAAGTGCACTTAGCTACGCTAAGTTAGCAACGCCTTTAGCGACGTTGTAGTGGCGTTAGAAAATTAATTTACCGACGCCTTCCAATACTTACCAACGCAATTAATGCGTCAAAAATCACACTTTTTCTAGTAGTGACTAGAAAAATGAATGGAAAAAAATAGATCTATATAAAACCAAAATCATGAATATGCAAAGACCATGAAGTAAATTCTTTTGTTTTTTTTAATATTTATTTCTTATTTATTGAACGGGACAGCAAGAAAAGGAAATCCCAAAAGACTATACTACCAGTTTCTAATACAACATAAAAAGAAAATAGGAGTGCCCTATAAATAATTCTTCAGTTATACTACACCACCCACCTCCACAGCACTTTTCCTTTCTTACTATCTTGATGTCCGTCTTCAAACATCCTTCTGTACCCACCCAAAGTACATAAAACAGATCTAACACCACCCGCCACCACAGCACTTTATGTTCTTTTCACAACTCAAGTTGTAAAGTGTATCTTATGTGAGAAAACATTGTAGTAAAAATGTTAAATTTGAATTTTTATGAGAGAAAATACTAGTAAAAAAGTCTGAGTTGTGATTCGAATTGTGAAAAGACTTGAACTTTCTGAATCATGACCAATAAGGTAGGCAGTTTGGAGGAAGAGCCCACATAAAGTCGGTCTCACTGACCATCTGCCACTACAAATTTAAAACAACTTCTATGAGTAATCAAGTAATTGATATCCTCTCCATCATTCTTACCCCCACTTGTTTCTTGCGAAATTTTATTGGCAAGGACGCTTCTGATTTAGCATCATTGTTTTCTTTGTTGCACGGGGGTGGTTTGGAACTTCTTTTGTAGTGATAAAATTTTTTTGGTCTTTGATTCTTCATTGAATCATTAAATCTCTTTATACTCAATCATTAAATCTTTTATATTGATAATGATTTTCTTCCTAACTTAATGGTTTATGGGTGCAGAATCGACAAAAAAAAGGCAGAAAGCTTATGTAGACGCCTCCGCATCAAAAGTTATTCACACGAATGTGGATGCTGTAATTGTTAACACCTTGCTCTTATAATACAAGAAGCCAGTTTTGAAGTTCGGGTTGCTTTACTAGAAACTTTTGGATTCTTTCCCT